AGGGCCAGCCTGGGCAACTTAGTGAGAGCTTGTATCAAAAATATGAAGGGCTGGAGATGTGGCTAAATGGTAGAGTGCTTACCTAGCATGTGTGAGGCCCTGAGTTTAATCCCCAGCACAGCAAAAAAAAAAAAAAAAAAAAAAAAATTTGAATACCATTAACAAGCAGCCAACATTCCAAGTATAGCCCTCAAGAATATAATGATTAAAGTTAAAAAAAATAAATAAATAAAATTAAGTCATTTAAAAATTTTTAGTGCTTGCCTAGCATGTAAGAGGCACCGGGTTTGATTCTCAGCACCACATACAAATAAATGAATAAAAATAAAGGTCCATCAACATACAAAAGAAATTTTTAAAAAAAAAATTCCTTGGATAGAATATAAAACTATTTTAGGATGACTAAAACTCTGGGGTCTCAACATTTTTTTTACCTCAAATGTAAACCATTTAACATATGAGCTAGTTTAAAAAGCCAAAAATTTCTTGAGAGAGAATTTGTTGAGCTTCATGTGGTTGATTTCTTCAAGACATAATAGATGTGTTTTATTCTCCTGGGCCATAAATGTCAGAGGCACCACTTAACCAAAAGGAATAAACACACTTGAGATAGACTCTGCCTGCTCTAAATCAAACCCAGCAAAGGGAGAAAATGTGCTGGGAAAGGGTGCTTTTGCAAAGAGTCATAAAGTCTCTTACAATTCGCTCTCTCTAGGGGTGGGAAGGATGATTGCATCCTTTGCAATAGTCAAGATTTCCTCAAAAATAAGTAGGAGTTTGCCTCCCTCAGTGAGGTTTTTGCTGCCGAGAGGCAATCCTATGAGGAAATTTATCTGTCCAGTCCTTGGTGAAAATGTGAGAAATTTGCAGAAGGACACATTCTGGAAGTCTACCAGGAGGAACTTCTAGCTCCCTTCAGCCACACTCGGGTTTTTGCAATGATACAGGAGTTCAGCTAAGCCCAGAGCTGTGGGCATCAGGTGGGCTTCCTGGCTGGGTCCACCTTCGGCAGGCAAGGGGACTGAGACAGACTTAATGCATTGGAATTGTTTGAATGGTTAATAATTCTCCTCTGATTCTCAGGGGGATTTGCTTCAGACCAGTTAAATGGACATAATATTTATCACACATGTTTGCTCTCCTAGAACTATATTAAAAGAGACTTTTCCACTCCTTTCCCTATTTTGTTGCCTCTCTTGTGTTAACAGTGTCACCTGTTAGAGGGGAAGCTATTTCGAAGGCAGGAACCCTTACTTAAAACCATGAGAACTTAACATTTCATGAGCACTTACTGCATTTATAACTTTGGGCTAGCGCTTCATGTGAATTAGCTTATTTAATCCTTTCACACTCTGATACCAGGAGAACTAGTATCCTCTTTTTGCAAATGGGAACTCTAAGGCTAAGAGAGATAAAAGACATCCCAAAAATCTGCACTCTAAAATATTTAATTATATTAATTCAGATACACACACACACACACACACACACACACACACACACACATATATATATATATATATATAATTTTTAACATTTAAACATCTTTGAAATTGTTAGCATATCTAAAACAAAATATTTATTACAATTAAAACTGGCAGTGGTTTTCTTCCTTAATAAAATAACTAGATCCCACCACTGTGGCATCTTCATCTCTATGACCTTATATAATTCTTCTGTCCACGTCATATGTAATTCTCCTGTGGGACCTGAGCCCCTCCTGACACACAGCAGATAGTCAATATTTATTACACACACACACACACACACACACACACATATACACACACATATGTGTGTGTATGTGAATGTGTGTGTGTGTGTATATATATATATATATATATAGAGAGAGAGAGAGAGAGAGAGAGAGAGAGAGAGAGAGAGAGAAATAATTCAATGCTACCAAGCAGCACTTGATAAAAAGAATCACTGGCTGTCTAAAATATCCATTCTCCCCTACTGTCTCAGTCACTGAGCACTAGTGTTCAGCTAAGCCCAGAGCTGTGGGCATCAGGGCCTTAATTTACCCCCTCTCCTGAAGCTCAGCATGCTCAACTACTTAAGTTTCTGGCCAGTTAGGGGTAAGCACAGGTATTAGTGCAACATCTGTGAGTGTCCTTAGAGGGCAGAAGCATGTTTCTTCCCTCTTCCTCCATCCTCCTGCCCAGAACATAGTAGTGATGCCTGGCAGTTTTTGTGGATCATGAGAATAAAGACATTTTTGGGAGTTGTGGAGCTGAAATTATGAAGGGGCCCATGACCCTGAGGACTTGGGGATTCTCTCTACTAGCCAAAAACTGGTTAAGAACTCCTTTTTAACTTTTTAAATGAGAGAAAATATTCTGTTTGTTTAAACAGATTTAGTTTCTCTGTCACAGGCAGCCAGATGTAATACTATCTGATACAGAATTTAGTACCTAAAATTGGAGAGCTACATGACAATTTAAAAATATCGCAATGGCTTCACAGATGTGATCAAACAGTGAGCACAGAGGGCATGAGTACTGAAGACTGAAAAAACGGGTGGCTTTTATTTTGCAGTAGCAAAACATTTGGTTCAAAGTAAAACACTTCTGATCTTAAAAGGCGGATGACCTGCTAACTGAAGCTGCAGTGTAGGGAAAAGTAGTGTTTGATAGCTCCTTCTTGCCACCTTTAGCAAAATTATTCAAGGTTAGCATTAATGAATCTGCAAGCAGAGATGGAAAGAAACATCACTTGGCTAAAGGTAACACTCTCTGCTTGTGGCCTCACTTACAAGTTGACCAAAATCACAATCCGAAATTTGGCAGGGTTGAAAAAGCAAACATATGTACCCTGAACTGAAGAGGGATTTAGCAGTGGCAGTAAAGCAGTAGCTTTCTCAGGAGATGAGGACAATATCCAGTCCAACAAACTTTATGAGCCTACTAGCCAAAAATAAAAGTAAAGGTGTTGTTTTACCAAATAAATCCACTGTTAAAGCAACTGCTTAGTTAGGTAGAAGGGGGATAGGATGGGCATAGCAAAGAGATTAAAAATTAAAGACCAGAGACTCCAGGCTTAAATGTTACCTTTTAGCATGAGGGCAAAGGTAGGACACAAGAGAAGGTGAGCACAAAACTTAAGAAGGCCTCTGTATTAGTTAACTTTCCACTGCTATAACAAAATGCCTGAGACTAAAGGATGTATATAAAAAAAGGGAGTAATATGTAGCTCCCATTTGTGGAGGTACTAGCATCCACTTGTCTCTAGATCAAACCTGAAACTGGATTTGTGTTCCATAATGGCGCTCCTCTATACGCCTGCCCCTTTGGGGTGATACTAGGTGTCCATTTCCACTAGCCAAACTGCCCTGTGATTTCAGACATCAAAACTAGGATAGTCCCGGTAGTGAACCATACTAACTTGTTATCTGGCACAAGGATGTACAGTATGTCACATTTATAATTCAGACTCTGTAAATTGTAATATATATTGTGCAACTCAGGCAAAAAGGTCAAAAAAATTGGATGAAATATTGTCTGATAGAAATGGGCTTGTCATCTGTGCCCAACCTGTCTGCCTCTGTTCCCTTCCTGAAGCAGTGGAGAAGACAGCAGCCACAGCTCTTTCCATCACCAGTTTCTCATTCATCACTCACCCTGCACCTCCCAAGCAGGCAAAGATCCCTCACCAGTCTATGTCGCTTCCTAGCAGCATCCCTTCAAATAGATCTGAAAAGACAGACTTATCTATTCTAGTGTCTTCTCTAACCCCCATAACTTCCTAGATGCCCCAACTTCTCTTCCTCTCTATGACACTGATGATCACTTTGGTATCATCCACGTAACTTTGTTTAGATACATTTAAAGTATAAATATAAGAAAGACCTGGTGCCTCTTATTTACATATCATAAACCAGGATGGAGGGACAAACAAGAATCATTCTAACAAATCTTTAACAGGAGACTGCAATTTCTGTATGGAGTACAGTAGCAATGACATGCAATTGAGTTGAAGCCAGACATAAATATCCCGGGATGTCCTGATGTAAATCTGTCATGATTCTGGGGAGTTTGCATTTTCAGTTCAGGGTTATGAGGTTTTAAAAGCATGGAATGCTTTTAAATATGCTCCAGAATCTCAAAATGATCTGGCTACATTCACATATAGGAAGACTTGTTGCCGGGCGAAACTGCTGCCAAAAACATAAAGACAAGCAAACAAGTTGACCCAACAAAAAGTTGTAAAAAGTAAAGAGGAAAACAATCGCTGAAAGGAAAATGAAAAGCATTTGGTCTCAGGTATGTAAACTCCAGACCCCTGTTGTGCTCAGACTGACCCATGGGGTAAGTGATGGACGCCCGAGGCTGTGAACTATGGTGCCTGACATCACACTCCTGTCTGGTTCATGGAAGCTTTTCTCTTGCTTCCTTTCTGGCTTAGTCCTTGAGACTTGCAACTTTCATCCCTCTTCTTGCACCTTCTCTTTTAACTGATAACTTTTTAACTTACAATTTCCAATAGCACTCCATCTCTCAAAAGGGAAGCCTTTGGATCTTGATATGTGCTATTTTTCCTGCCACACCTTCCCTGATACCTACTAGACAGTCTCTTGTGTTGAGAGAGCCACGAATCCTTGAGACAGAAAGCAAAGATACCAGGACATTGTGACATGTTCAGAGTAGGTCAAATAAAATTCAAGGCAACATGGTTTTACCAAAGGACCATTAAACCATCTAGCATCTAAATGCAAATATGAGCAGCCAACCTGTCACCTGTGAGTACTGGAATCCAAAGATGAATGAGCTACCACAACCCACTGACCTATATGTCCAAACCACAGGACAATCTGAGCAAACTGGGGACTTGAGGCCATCCTGAAAGAAGCAGCCACACTTAGAATCCACATAGCTGCCCATGGTTCCAGGCAAAGTTCCCTCCAGTGACCCCAAGAACACATGCTAAAGTCCCAACAGAGTCCAGAAGAGTCCTGTTTTAGTTAGGCCTTCCCAAAGAGACCAAAGCAATAGAATGTGTATAGATAGAAGTTTTGTTTTATTTTGTTTTGTTTTTAAGTAATTAACTCATGTAATTGTGGGAGCTTCTAGGTCCAAATTTTACAGTCTGGTAGGTTGGAAATTGTAGCAGTAGTCAATGTTGCGATCTTGAGTCTGTGAAAAAAAATGTGAAAATTGTCAGAATCAAAATGGAGTCATTGTGTCGACACTAGCAAAAAATAAATTAAACCAGGAGGTTATAAAGGAAGGGATCTTATACACGACTGCTTGAGAGTAGCTGTCACAAAAGACTCTGCCAGAAGCTCAACCTTGCACAGAGGCCACTATGACCTTTTACAGAAAGTCCTTATATAGGACAGTTGTCTGTTCAACCTTGAACTAATGCCACTCTTGTTATTCATTATTTTGGTCCAGATAATTGTTGCCAAACAGCAGATGTAAAACTCTTCATTTTTGTCTTTCATATTTCCTCTTTTGTCTTTCATATTTCCTCTTTCCTCAACTTCCTTGAATATTCCCAGAGTTTACTACGGG